TATGTTGACTGTGTAGCTTGCACAGAACTAAGATATGTTGGCTGTGTTGCTTGCACAGAACTAAGATATGTTGGCTGTGTTGCTTGCACAGAACTAAGATATGTTAGCTGTGTAGCTTGCACAGAACTAAGATATGTTGACTGTGTTGCTTGCACAGAACTAAGATATGTTGACTGTGTTGCTTGCACAGAACTAAGATGTGTTAGCTGTGTAGCTTGCACAGAACTAAGATATGTTGGCTGTGTTGCTTGCACAGAACTAAGATATGTTGGCTGTGTTGCTTGTCCAGAACTAAGATATGTTGGCTGTGTAGCTTGCACAGAACTATGATATGTTGGCTGTGTAGCTTGCACAGAACTAAGATACTTGGTCTGTGTAGCTTGCACAGAACTAAGATTGTGATGATTAAACAAATTTGGAATTTAATGCTTATGTACTTTACACAAAGCAAGGATATACTGGTTATGTTGCTTACACAGAATTAGGAAATATTGGTAATGTTGCTCTTACAAAACTAACTATAGGTGTGTTAAACTTGTCCAATAACCCTTGTCCTCTCCCTAATATGAAAACTCATAGATTTGAAAGGGTCAGTGGGGTAGCCTAGGGGTTAAAGTGTTCACTCATCACTCCGAAGATCAGGGTTTGATTCCCCACGTGGGTACAATGTGTGAAGCCCATTTCTGGTGTCCCCCTGCTGTGATATTGCTGCGAAAAACTCCAGATTTCAAGGGTCCCTGGAATACTACAAAAGTAAATGATAGGGTACAATAAGTTAGAATTATTTCTCTTACGATATATTTTCTTTAAAGTTTCTTTTCTGCATTGAACATCAATTCATCTCTTGATATAGTATGACCAGAAATTATTGAGAATTTTAGGAATATGTTTAATTGGATTCCTAGTATAAACAACCTTGACCAGCTATCAAGTGCTTGGTTTCATTCAAGAGAGACAACTCTGTTAACCCTTTTTCATTAGTTTGTAAAGAATTATCCCCCTTTGTTTACCTGCTAGCAGACGACATTTTCAGTGATCCTCTGTATGGATGATTTCGAGAAGAGGAAGCTGATTTTAGAGTAATATAACAAAGACATCAGATCAGCTAAAGTGATTACAAGTAGAACAGGCATCTCTTTGTCCACTGTTTATATCGTGTTTTGAAAAATATTGCAAATGGATATGGCATTGAGCACCAGGGAGGCGCAGGTAGGCCCAGAAAATTGACTGTCGGTGGTATTCTTGTTTCTAAAAACAAACGAAGGAGTTTAGAAAACTTAAGGCTGGATATGATTGATTCAGAGGAACTGTGGCTGTCTGTAAGGAGACAATTAGAACTGAGCTGCATGCAATGGGTTGGCAGAAAAGTCGAGGAATTCCATCACCGATCATGAAACCTGAACAAAAGGAGCGAAGGTTGAACTGGTGCTTACAGCATAGAAATTTTAACTGGGACAATGTGATTTTCTGTGTGGCTGTTTCCTAATACACTGAAATTCTGGACCAAACAAACTGAAAAACCTTTGTATCAGCACCCAAAGTACAGTCCGAAATTTAACGTGTGGGGTGGCATATCTGTGATAGGGGCAACGCCCCTCTGTGTATTTGAAGGGAATATGAACAGTGAGCGGTACACAGATATTCTCGAGAGACATTTACTTCCATCTGCTCACGTGTTCTATGGAAATTTTTTGATTTTCCAGCAAGACAACGACCCAAAACATCGTTCAAAGCATTCACAGGCCTGGTTTCAGACCCAAAATATGACATTATTAGATTGGCCAAGCTAAAGCCCTGACCTAAATCCAATAGAAAATGTTTGGGGACTTATGAAGAAAAGTGTCCATAAGAAAAATCTGACAAATATTGCTGAAATGAAAGAAGAGGTGGTCCGATATTGGGACAGCATGGACCACGACTTTCTGACTTCTTTGATCAGTAGTATGCCCCGCCGAATTGAAGCCTGCATTGCTGCCCATGGTGACTTGACAAAATACTAACTGTTCACCTGTCTTTGAATCTGGAGTTATGTTCTGCTAATATTGACATTTAATACGTGAGTAATGAGTGACAAAAAAAATAAAAAATTACAATCTTAAATTCTCAATAATTTCTGGTTGTACTGTATTATGTGATAAATGTTGCCAGACTTTTAACTATAGATACAAAATGACTAATTTCACTGAGAAATTATCATTTATATTTGACGAATCAAAAAGAAATACCATGAAAGTACTTGCAAGGATCTTTGAGATTATCAGCACCAATAAAAAAATAAAAAAAACATTTTAAGAATATCAAGTGATGGACAAATACTGCTGTCGTGACTGAATGTATCCTCATGTTCTCATTGACTAAATGGTCCGTCCAGAGTTGCCAAACCTCACAGATCATGGTGATAATTGGCCATCCCTTTCTATTGTGAGTATCATGTCCGCCCAGGTTACCTTTGTTGCCATCGATCAATGTTTCCATATTTAGCCCGGGACTCGTGTTATTGCTATGTACAGTAGTAACACTTCACTCCAGTATTTCCCTTGTTGCTACCAACACTTGATTGGCTGGCTAAACATGGAGCGGTGTAATTTGTCACTTACTGCTGGAGTGATGTGTATACTGTGTAGTATAGAGTTTAGGCAGATGTTTGCAGTTGGACCAGGGACTGTGAATAAGTCGTGGGTTGGTTTATTTTAACACTAATGTCAATAAGGTTTGGGATTATCATCAGAATCTGTTCAGTCAACCTGTGGGAGATGAATTTTACATACGCTATTTGTAACAGAGTGGTGAAAATGTTATTTGGAAATTGAGTTTTATAAGAATGAAAACAAAATTGAGTCTAATGATATTGTTGTTAAGTGATATGAATATTTTGGGGGTTTTTGGAAATAATTTATCAGTGGGGGAACTGTGGTTAAAGATGTCTAAAGCAACCCCCAGGCCACCGATTACAACATCTTGACCCATGTGGACCCTGTTCCTTAATGCAATCTTTGTGATAAGATGATTTCATACATTTTTCTTTGTGGTTTTGTGAGGCAACTACTGTTTTATTGTAAGATTTGCAGTACAGGCCTGTCTGTCTCCTCTTGGCTGGTTGTGGTCTCTGATGGTTGCGTCACTGCTGAACAAAGCTTCCCTAGCCATTAATTGTCTATAACATTGTTTAAGACTCCCTTTAACAGTGTCACAACTTATATTACAAGATACTCCTTTCAACAAATATCTGCTCATAACTATTTTATTGCTGGCTTTGGGAGTATCTCAAAGCAGGCAATGATTTAGGACTTCAATTATTGTCCCTATCAACATCATTAAACCTGTATAGACGTCCGACAGAATGGACAGACAAAGATGGCAGTAGACAAACAAACATGTCTGTTGTACTGAGGTATGGTGTGGATATTATGAGCATGGCTTTGTCTCCGACAGACCGTGTTTATGACGTGGTTATGAGGGCTGTAAAGATAAAACTTTACAATTCACATCTACATGGGTATTAAACACACAATGTCCGTCTCTTGGATGTGAAAACTGTTTACATTAGCTTAGCCTTAGCCAGTGATTAAGACTGTTTAGAATTGTCAAGTTCCTGATCCTTTTTCAAAAGTCAGAGCTGAGCATGTATATTCATGTATGTGAACTGTGTGCATATTTTCAACACCAGACTTAAACAATATGTCTTTGGAAAAATGTTTCGAAGTTGTTTTGTAGCATTATGTCATCTATGGCAATCAATTTCAATATGCTCAGGGAACGGAGGGACCTGTTCACTGCTTATCCTACTGATATAACACCCTACTAAGATGTAGATGTGTCATTCTACTAAGGTACAGATATGTCACCTGACTAAGATGTCAATATATCACCACACCTTGATGCAGATATATCACCCTACAGAAATGTATATATATCACCGCTGTGATGTTGCTTGAATATTGCTAAAAGCAGCGTAAAACCAAACTCAGTCAGTATATATATCACCCATCTCAGATGCAGATATATCACCCTTCAGAAATGTAGATATATCACCCATTTTAGATGCAGATATATCACCCTTCAGAAATGTAGATATATCACCCATTTTAGATGCAGATATATCATCCAACTAAAATGCAGCTATAACACTACTAGATATGATGCTCTACTAAGATGTAGATGTATCACCCAACTGAGATACTTATATGTCACTCTACTAAGATGTAGATATAACAACCTACTAGGATGTAAATACTGTGGAATACTAAGATATAAATGTAATGCCCTAGTTAAATGTAGAACACTGTCCTGGTCATGTCAAAGCCTTGCATGTTCTTACTATATTAACAGAGGGTCTTGGATCAGGAGCAGTGTAGGAATACTTCCAAGTATACATTGTTCGTCATAATGCAGACAAATATGAGGATTGGGTGGTCATGGTGTGTAAAAGTTCAGTCATTGTGCACCTTGAATGAATGACTGAAAATAGTTTTGTCTACAGCAAACTAGTGTTGGGAATTGGTTAAAATCTCATAATTGATGATTGGTTTATTACAACCTATCAATCATCGAAAAAAATTGGTTAGCGTCATTAATGAAATTTGTTAATGCACATAAAAATAAGGAAAAAAACATGTAGTTTTGGGGGTTTTTTTGGGCAAAATTGCACATCTTTAAAGGATGACTAGTATGTCAGGAACAAACATTTCTTGGAGTCTTTAAGATAAATCAATCATGACTTGAAATGAACTTGTAGTGCTTATGAAATGTAACAGACAAAACCAACCTTGTAAAATATATTGTTTATGAAAACAAGTGTTCCAGAATTGTTTGTGTTCGATTATGAGAAAACATGATCGATTGCTTGGTCGTTTAGTCACTGCGACCAATCTTCGATTATTTCAATTAATCGGACCACCACTACAGCAAACATCCCATGAACCCATTGGAGTATTCCATGGTCCCTTGCATAAACTTCTACATGTATAGTATATTTAACTGAAATGTTCTGTTTGTTTCAGTGTGTCTACAAGACAGTGTACTGGCCTTCCACAAACATGGCATGCAAGGACGTAGCTTCAAAGCCAATGAGGTAACTTCCAGTACATCTTGTACTTGAATAACTTCCAAAGTTCTCTGACATGAACATTATGTTTCTGAACAGTGCATTATGTCATTTTCCCATGGAGATTCATTGTGTTTATTGTTTGTTTAGGTAACGCAGGAGATATGTGATCGATCAAGGACGTTTAGGCTGCTAGGATCTGACAGGTATGTACAAAAATGTCACATAAAGTAGTCACGAACAATCCTCCACTACTGGTTATGGTATATGTTGTGTCTTTTAGAAATAGCAGGATGTCATGGAATCGATGTCAATATATCCTCTGTAGCATGATTCCATGGAAACCATTGGTATGCTACTGATATTGCAGGATTCCTTGAAAACAATTGTTATTCTACTGATATGGCAAGATTCCTTGAAAACAGTTGTTATACTACTGATATTGCAGGATTCCTTGAAAACAATTATTATACTACTGATTCCTCAGAAACAGTTGTTATACTACTGATGTTGCAGGATTCCTCAGAAACAATTGTTATACTACTGATATTACAGGATTCCTCAGAAACAATTGTTATACTACTGATATGGCAGGATTCCTCAGAAACAGTTGTTATACTACTGATATGGCAGGATTCCTCAGAAACAATTGTTATTCTACTGATATTGCAGGATTCCTCAGAAACAATTGTTATTCTACTGATATTGCAGGATTCCTCAGAAACAATTGTTATTCTACTGATATTGCAGGATTCCTCAGAAACAATTGTTATACTACTGATATTGCAGGATTCCTTGAAAACAATTGTTATACTACTGATATTGCAGGATTCCTTAAAAACAGTTGTTATACTACTAATATTGCAGGATTCCTTAGAAACAATTGTTATACTACTGATTCCTCAGAAACAATTGTTATACTACTGATGTTGCAGGATTCCTTGAAAACAGTTGTTATACTACTAATATTGCAGGATTCCTTAGAAACAATTGTTATACTACTGATTCCTCAGAAACAGTTGTTATACTACTGATATTGCAGGATTCCTCAGAAACAATTGTTATTCTACTGATATTGCAGGATTCCTTGAAAACAGTTTTTATACTACTGATATTGCAGGATTCCTTAGAAACAATTGTTATACTATTGATTCCTCAGAAACAATTGTTATACTACTGATGTTGCAGGATTCCTTGAAAACAGTTGTTATTCTACTGATATTACAGGATTCCTTGAAAACAGTTGTTATGCTGCTGATATGGCAGGATTCCTCAGAAACAATTGTTATTCTACTGATATTGCAGGATTCCTCAGAAACAATTGTTATTCTACTGATATTGCAGGATTCCTCAGAAACAATTGTTAATTCTACTGATATGGCAGGATTCTTCAGAAACAATTGTTATACTACTGATATTGCAGGATTCCTTGAAAACAATTGTTATACTACTGATATTGCAGGATTCCTTGAAAACAATTGTTATACTACTGATATGGCAGGATTCCTCAGACACAGTTGTTATACTACTGATATTGCAGGATTCCTCAGAAACAATTGTTATTCTACTGATATTGCAGGATTCCTTGAAAACAGTTGTTATACTACTGATATTGCAGGATTCCTTAGAAACAATTGTTATACTACTGATTCCTCAGAAACAATTGTTATACTACTGATGTTGCAGGATTCCTTGAAAACAGTTGTTATACTACTGATATTGCAGGATTCCTTGAAAACAGTTGTTATACTACGGATATGGCAGGATTCCTCAGAAACAATTGTTATACTACTGATATTACAGGATTCCTCAGAAACAGTTGTTATTCTACTGATGTTGCAGGATTCCTTAGAAACAATTGTTATTCTACTGATATTGCAGGATTCCTTGAAAACAGTTGTTATGCTGCTGATATGGCAGGATTCCTCAGAAACAATTGTTATTCTACTGATATGGCAGGATTCCTTGAAAACAATTGTTATTCTACTGATATTGCAGGATTCCTCAGAAACAATTGTTATACTACTGACATTATTGGTTTTTCAGAAACTATTGTCTTCGTGCTGATATTGTTTGATTCAGTGTATCCGTCTCTATGCCTACCGTTTAGTACAATGTAGACTTGTGTGATGTCTATCATCAGTGCCTGCAGGGACATGATCAATTCATTATGCAAGAGTGTTACTACAAAACACCTTGGTTTCTCAGGGCTGTTTTATGTTTAGACTGAATCAATAAACTGAACATTGATGTGTTTAAGTATTCCGATTGAAGTGAAAGTTGGCGATATCAGTGTCATTTGCTGGGTTTCTATAGATCTATTTTATCAAATAGCCAGTTAAATTTAGAATGTAGGCATACACTTTTTATGAAAAAGATAGACATTTCTGAAAAGATCAATGGCATCAATATGTTGAGATTTTACAAGCTTATTAAAAAGCAGCATGTGTCAACACCTCATAGTGGAATTCCGATTAACATGGTGCTAGAAGGATTAAGTGTTTATTGACCAGTCAGCATTGAATATCGAAAAATCACAAAATAGCTCATTTTTTATAACGAAAAGCTTTTAATCCTTAATAAGGAGATAAACATGCTGTGTTGTGAGTGGAGAGAGTGTTAAGTGTTGATTGAAGTTGGAACTGAATGTGAAGTGTGACATTTCAGATGTTCAATGTCCTGCTGTCAAATCTGCAGGAAAAAATACTTGTGTTACCTTTGCTACCTGGAGCACCATAGGCGGGATTGGGGGTAATTTTAACTTCCCATATTCTAGGTGTTGTTGAAATACTGTTGGTAGTGGAAGAGGCGTTAGTGGTGGTGGGAGAAGTATATGTAGTAATACTAGAAGCGTGAGCTCACTGAATCAAATCGACTGGTAACTTAGCTAAAAATGTTAAAATTCAAGATAAACTGTTGTGTTCATGAGAGGAAGATGGGAGTGGATCAGTTATTTATGACTTAACGACTGGATCAACAGAGTTATTTCCCTTTGTTGTGCAAGGATCTGTTCTGTATCCAAAGTGGTAAATCGAATCTAATCACACTCTGCAGTAAAGAAAAAGTGTTTGAATGATCTTTGAAATAAGTCTTGTATATTGTTATGAACTGTTAAATAATTACACATGTTAAGGATGCTCTATTTTTTTCCCACTGCCCTGAAAACCAAATCGATAATGAACCAGGTAAATATGCTGCTTTGTCAGCTTGGATTGTTTGACAGATTGAATGTCATTGATCCCCAGTAAATTATAACTTGACATGCAGGTGCCCCCCACTGCCTGATCCTGGGGCCAGAAAGCCTATTGTTACAGTCTCATCGTGTTATGGATTGTTAATCATGCTGTTGTTTATCTTCACTCTAAGCAGGGGGCAGGTTTCACTCATTAATGGTGTTAAGTGAATACATTACATTCCTGTCATTAATGACTATTACTTGATCATAAGAACTTTTAGTGGGGTCTGTTATGGTTAATTGTCTAGTGTTTCTGTTGCCCCATGCAGAGGTTTTAAGTGTCTGCAATATCGCTGACAGTTGCATGGTAAGGACAATTGGATAACCATGCCTCACTAGGTTTGATAAGCTGTAATAAACAGAAACCATTGGCATTACTCAACAAATCCTCATTTTGGTGCCACCACTTACATTAATGCAGTTCTTATCAAATGAAGGACACAAGTTACATTAACCCTAATTTGTTTCAAAACCCTACACCGAGTGATGTAATTTTTTTTAGCTTAGAAATATTACGCAATACATGTATCCGAGTTGATTTGAGGACCAAACTTTTGGTGCTGAAAGTTTTTGATTGCCAGAAGAATACTTACATGATGTTCTGTGATGGATAGAATCCTAAATGCCTTTTATTTATCTGTGTACAAGTTTGATTATCATAACAAAGGCAACAGAGCTTTTTACACAGTTTTGTTTAGTGCCCCACTCAGGATTGTTCCGTCTATGAGGAAGTGGTGTCTCAGCAGTCAAGTTTTGACCTGACAATCCACTGGTTGATGTCATCAACAAGAATGGGTGGTGCACAATTTGCTGTGTGGAGTTGCGGGTTGCAAGTTACAATGAGCATCGGTTTCTGAGGACTCATTCGGATCCAGCATCTGGAGTCAAATTGCCCTTGGGACATCTTCATTTTGATTTGCAGAGGACATCAACCTGTAGTCATTGGGCAGGTTCTTTGGGTCATTGTCTAAACCTGTATGTAATAAAATATATTAGAGGGGGTACAACCTGACTGATGGACTGATTGCACACTTGAAGGTGTGATAGAGATGACTACAAAGGATACAATGAGTGAATGGCTTTCAACAGTGCCAAGTCAGCTTGGTGTTGAGCTAAATACATGATGCAAGTGTAGCAGGACATGGAGTCATCCCACAGATGACATCCTTACCCTTGTCAGCTTACTGACAGTGTTAACCTCTCTGGTTAGGCATACCTCGGATAAAAAGGTCCAAAGTTTGAATCCCATCATGCTACTACACAAGCCTTAGACATAAACCACCATGGTAAAAGCCAAATGTACAGGTATTGCATGGACAGGCCAAGGTAGATGTAGAGGTATAACCAATGATCTTGGGTTTCCAGTACAGAAGAGAAAGCTCTAGGAGTTAAAAGTTGACATTCTTTGACCCTGTTGTCATGTAGAGATTGTCCAAGCAGGACGGGACATGACACTGAACCCCCACTTGTCTAGCCCTGGTGTTAGCACAGACTGGTAGCTATGATGTTTATGTCCACCATGTATACAACTGGACCACAGTTAATGAAGTCTCTGTTTGTTATCGGTCACACTTGATCTGTCTATAATGAAATATGTTTCTATTGATAGAAGGCAGGGGATAGTCCTGTCTTCGATTCAAGTCAGGCTGAATGTCTGGGATGATAAGGTGATAATGACTTGCTATAGATAGTAAATGAGATGTCAGAGGTGATCTTTCTATAGATATGCTTTCTCTATAGGTTTGTCAGAGTGGGTCTCTCTGTAGATATGTTTTTTGTGGATAGATTTGGCAAAGTACAAGAATGCAGGTCTGTGTTTAATACATTGGCAGATCCAGAGGGGGAGTTCAGGGGGTTGGAAAAACACACACACACACACACACAAAATGACTTAAGACCACATGGATGATTTTGTTTTCGTTGGCGGAGCCAATGGGGGGTTCAGGGGGTTCCCCTTTCAAAATTCCTGGA